TACACCCCTAAACCCCTAAGCCCCTAGCCCTCTAAACCCAAAACCCCTAAACCCTTAAGCCCCTAAACCCTAAACCCTAAACCCCTAAACCCTAAACCCCCCAAGCCCTAAAACCCTAAACCCTAGACCTCTCCCCCCTTTTCCAGGCTCCGGAAGGGTGTCGCCAACCCAGGCCGGGCCACGACAAACAGGAGAGAGTCTGACACTCTGAGATGCGCGATGTGACCCTAGATCTTGAACACAACTCCCGAAGCCCTAAAGCCCAAAGCCCTAAACCCCAAACCCAAAACTCTGAACCGCACGCCCAAAACCCGAAACCCTAAACCCCTAAACCCCTAAACCCTGAACCCTAAACCCTAAACCAAAAAAACCCAAAACCCTAAACCTAAAAATAAACCTTAAGCCCTAAGCCCAAGACGTCGAGGCTCCACCGAGACCTGAGCTTCACCCGGAACCGGAAGAAGAGCGAGTTCGGAGCTCACTGGGCCCTTCAAGAGCCTGGAGATTGGGGATTCCTTTCAAGGGAACTATAAGGGATCTAAGAGGGTTTAGGGCTTTCGGGTTTAGGATTTAGGTTTTAGGGTTCAGGGTTCAGGGTTTAGGGTTCAGGGTTGGGGGTTTAGGGTTTCGGGATTTAGGGGCTTTGGGTTTAGAGTTTTGGCTTTAGGAGTTCAGGGTTTTGGGAGTAGGGCTCACTTGGCCCCAAAGTCCAGGGATTAGGAATGATTAGGGCGTGGGTTGAGGTCGAGTTGGAGATCACATGGAGAAGAGCTTGAACCTATCTGACCCCTGCAAGGGATCTTTACTTTGCCATAAGTTAGAAGTTCGAAGCGTGACTATAATAAGGGTTGCAATAAAGGTCACTATTTGGGTTCCTAAACCGGGTTACGAAAAGGACTATATCATTTACTAGAAGGTTCATTGCAAGGCTTACTTTAAAGGTTTCTTAATGGAAGATGATAATAAAGCTATTCAGCCGCTTTGCTGGTGCTGCACTTGGCCATTTCTCTCTCAGGTGCCCTAAACCCTAAAACCCTAACTAAACCCTAAACCCTAAAACCCTAAACCCTAAAACCCTAAAACCCTTTTCCCTAAACCCTAAACCCTAAAACCCTAAAACCCTTTACCCTAAACCCTAAACCCTAAAACCCTAAGCCCGAAACGTTAGCCGCCGAGAAGCCCCTGTGCCGGCCCGCTGGCGGAGCGAGCCGCGAGCGCCGCAGCGGGCACATCCCAGCGGAGCGTGAAGCCGTCAGAGCCTTGGGGGTGGGGTGAGGGTTGAGGGTGGAGGGGTTATGGGATTTAGGGTTTAGGGTTCGAGGGCTGAGGGTTTAGGGTTTGAGGGTTGAGGGTGGGGGGGCTATAGGATTGCGGGTTTAGGGTTTGAGGTTTGATGGTTTAGGATTTAGGGTTGGGGGCTTAGGGCCTGGGATTGGGAGTCTGGCGTTGATGTACGGTTTAAGGCTTAAGGCTTAAGGTTGATGGTTGAGATGCGTTGTAGCGGCTTAGCTCAGTTGGGCTTCAGAAGAAGATATGGAAACCTTGTTCAGGGTCCTTTCAGAAATACTCGTACATTCAAGGTCGCTATCAGGGGCTGCTTGTGTTCTGACTGGCACTGACTCTGGTCCTGAACGACATGAGGATGAACTCGACGAGAACGACTTCGGAGAACCGTGATGGTCATGCGATGTCCTGCTAATGATGGAGATAAGGAAGATAAAGATGATGGTGATGTTGATGGTAACGGTAATGATGTCGATCGATGATGATGGTGATGATGAGGCAACAACATGACTGCCATGCTGATGATGACGGTTTTCTCATGAATAAGGGTGTGTTCGTTTCACCTGGGTTGTCACGCTGCAGAACATGACGAGGATGATGGCGAAGACCATGATGACAACAAGCACGAACGATCCTGATAAGGATGAACATGTTATCACTGCCACTCCCGCGTTCTGTTTTCACACCCTGCCGGCAACAAGTTGAGGTTCTCTGGCCCAAAGGCGCGCAGGGCCATCGGATTCTAAAATGCGCATCAGCATCCACGTGACAAAAGAGAAAAGTGTCGCGAGGAATTCGAAAGCTGATGCCGCAGGAATCTTCCACCTCTCGAAAGCTGCCGCTGCTGGCTTGAAAAGACATCAGGTGCTGCCTTCATGGCCGGACGGCCCCAGCGGGTGCAAAGAAACAGAACTCCTGCAGACTGAAGAGACGCGCGGTCACAGTCTCTGGTTCTGACATACAAAATTGACAGTTGACTCGTACAAAGCACTGGCTGCTCGAACCGAAGCTCGAGAATGTGAACCAGGTCAAGTTGGACATACACACTGTCCGCTCCAACTTCTTGAAGATATCGTTCCAGCGTGCTAAAGCTGCGAAGCCTCATCCTCCACATGAGGCCTGAGATATCGGCAGCGCGCCGATACTCACGCACCAGGCTCAAGGGCCCAAACACTGACGCGCACAGCAGCGAACCGATGGGATCCTGAACTTTGGCATGCTGGACCCGGCCTCCGCCTCTTCGACGAGTCTTCGGAGAGCGGATGGTAAGAAAGATGCTGTTGATTTCTTCACCGAGCAAATCAGACGGAAGAAGAAGGTCTTCTCGAAAAGCCCGCAGCACTTCCCCGGGTCTGCACATGCCGAAGAAAGCCAGCGCAGTACAAGCAGCCCAACGCCACCAGCCCCAGACCAAACCAACGGCGATCATAGCCTGAAAGATGCCATATGGAAGTGGAGTTCTGTGAACTGCTGGTTCGCAAATCTCCCAACGGCTGACTGTTTGCCAGGCCCCCCCAAAATGAGCTCGGAGTCCAGGCCGCTCACGTTGCAAGAAAGTAATCAACTGCTTGTACATGTAAAGCGATTGCATCGACTCGAACATGTACACTCCGAACAAACGGACCAGCTCGCCCAAAGTTTCAGGGCAGCCCAGAAGGGATTCAGCGCTGTCAGAAGAGAGATTGCTTGAAACCCACTCCAGGAAAGCAGTGTGAACTCGTTGTCCCAGCTGCGCAGTCGCCGGCTCGACCAGTAGAACTTCGTCTAGGGAAACAGCAGCTCGATAGCTCAGATCACGGCCCCTGGCAGGTCCAGGATTCTTGGCTTCTCCGATTCTCCCGTGACTTTGCCGAGCGAGGCTTGCAGCTGAGAATAGCCGCCTTTGAACACATCCCGAATCAATAAGCATTGCTTGCCCTACCCACCAGCAGAGCTTCCGGGGGTATTGCTGAGCCGCTCGCGTCCAACAACACTTATGTAGCTTGGAATAACCAGAAAGCACTTTATGCTGATGATCCTGGTTGCAAAACAAGCTAAACCCGGCTAGATGCAGATTCGTCAAGAAACGCGTTCGCTTCCGCCAGGGTGTTCCCAATCTGCAATAGTCCAGGCGAAAAGATGAGGAAGGATACAGAGGTCGGTACGAGCTGAGCTCAGGCATCCGCCAGAGGAGGCTGTCATGTGGATTCTCAAGCCAATAGCACAACTGACTCTGCACTGCGATCGCTAAAACCTCACTCATAAATTTTGAATGAGCATTCCCAGCGGTGACTCGCGACAAACCTGGCTCTCCTAAGTTAGGCTTACCGTCTGGATGCGAAGTGCTCCGCCACGAAGGTCTAACAGCTCGCGAAAAACTGCTGCAAACCATCCCAGCACCGACTCCCTTGAAAACCCCGGACCTAAGAAGCCTCAAAACGACTCGCTGCACTGCGGGATCCAGCAGGTCCTGATCGGGGTCTGTCTTGTTGTCGAAGCACAAGACCCAGCACGGAGCGCTGGAAACCATCACCTTTGGAATGCCTCGAGCACCAGAGTAAAGATCCAGGAAGCCAGGATACTGCTGCAAAACCTCGGGCAGTGTGCCCAACTGTCTGTTCCACTCGAAACGATCCTCGCTGAAGTTCAGCAGCAGTGTCATGGCATCTGAAAAGGCAAGGCGAATCTCTACTCCTGGGGAGCTCGGAGAGCTAAGGTTGAAAGCTTTCAGGATTTCGGGCGGCCCAGGTTCTTGGGTCCTGGTCCCTGGCTGGTTTTCTCGACTTTTGACCTCAATCGCGGGTTCTCGGGTCCTCGTCCCTGGTTGTATCTTTTTCTTTTTGATCTCAAGCTCAGACTTATTCAGGGCTTTCGGGGGCTGCCTAACGAAACGCTTCTGAGGAACAGGTCCCACTTCAGCCCAAAGCTCCGCAAGTGGCGGAAGTCCTGAGATCGTGTAGGGATCAGCGCCGTAACTGCGAAGCCAAGCATCGAAGGCGTTCAAGTTCGGAAGTTCATAGAACCAATCAGGCAACTGCAGGAAGGAACCGGGTACTTCAGTGTTTCGGCTTGGCCCGTCAGAGCTGTTGAACTCTGAAGGAATGTATCCGGCATTGCTTTGCATGTTGCATCCCAGATGGATGGCTAAGCTCTGCTGGAGTTCAGAGTTCAGACTCCTTGAGGATGCCCGACCCTTTGTCCAACATCCAAGAGCGACCTGGGAGTCAGATAAGGAAAACACTCTCTGGCGAAACCCAAGTCTGGCAGCGAACTCTTCCGTCTTAACCAGACCTCTGAGTTCCAATATGTTGATATGGGTGTCCCTGGCAGCTTTCCTCCTGTAAACTTCGGTGTACTCCAACGATCCTGCCAGTGCGAGCCACAACGGATGCCCAGGCAGCAGCTGTCCATCTGGCAGCTCCTCAGCAGGGGGCAGCACTCCTTTCAGTCTTTGGAGCCGACGCAATGGTGACAAAAGCTTTGTCCACACTGGTTTGCGCAGACGATGTCGATGCACTTCTGCTTCAAAGCCGCTAGGCAGGGCTGCCTTAGTGATGCCTATTCCCCAGTCAGACGCGTCAGAGCAGTAGATCAGAGGAGAATTCCAGCATCGCAGATCGGTGCAAGCTAAAGGTCCCAGGCTTATAATCATCACCAGCTCATCGCGTAGCTCATCGCTCAGCTTGATAACATGCTGTCTTTTGAGTCCACGCTGCAGGGGCTCGTAGACTACCGAAAACAAACTCAGCAGCCTTCTCCGAAAAAGAAAGATTGATGTCCACGACCCAACCAGGATCTCTAGCAGCCCCAGGTTTGTGACCCCCATTGCCACCACTGCACTCGTGATAGCAAAGATAGGCAAAGCCCGGCTGAGCGAAGCTTTCACGAGCCCTTCTTGCCCGTCCACGCTAGCTCCCCAGTACTCCCCAAGCAGTTGATCTTTGAAGGTTTTCTTTTCATGGGGAGTCAGGCCGGCGTCGATGTACCGACCAAGCATGCTCTCGATTGCTTCGCCACCTTTGCAAGAGACACCTGCTTCGAATGTTTCTTTCGCAACCAATTCCAAAGCTATCAGGTCATCAATCACCACGCCAATCATGCTCGGGCTTCTGGGACAGCACATGTTCATCGCTAACATGTTGTTTTCATGCAAAAGCCCACTTTGCACCAATAAAGCAACATGCGCCGTTTGCGCTATCTCTACAGCGCAAGCGTCTCCCATAGCCAGTGTAGCCAAGCTGGCGTAAACATACTTTTCTCCCTTGAAATCCTCAGCCCTGAACGAACGAAACTTGGAGGCTTCAGTCAAGCTAAGGGGGCCTACCAAGCTGTTGCGAATCTTTCGTTGTTCACTGCAAATGAAAGAATAATAAAAATCTCTTAAGTCCGTGCCCGAGGAAACGAGCACATGACCCTCTGGGATCTGGATGTCCAAAAGACTGGAGGCTGTCGCAGTGCTAGAAATCCATCTGCAGGGTGGCCTTTCCAATGTGTTGAAAGGACGAGAATCGAATATTAAACGATCAGTAGTCAGGTCTTTCCCCACGGCGAATAAGCCGGCTTGGTAACCTCGCAGAGCGGTACTTCCGCCCACGCACCCCAGCCGATTGCCAGCGTCCAGCAGATGCAGCAGCCGATCTCGTTCAGTACGACTAGCGTGGATCTTCACCTTGGGCAGGTCCACGCCAACGTCCTCTGGGGTCAGGGCCATATCCAACGGTCTATTGAAAATGGCTTCTCCTCTTCGGTCAAGATAAGGCGAGGGATCGAAACTCGGAGTTCCACGAAACTTGATGCGGTCAGCGACAATGGCCTTTGCCGTCACGGACTGCCCTGATGTTCCGGCATTTCCAATAACGTCACCCCCGAAGGCATGCCGAAGTCCTGGACGAAGATCGCGAAATGATGGAAGTTTCCCATATCCTCGCCGCGGGAGGGGAGTGAAAGGATCATTTTCGAAGATCAGGTCAGACCCTTCAGTGTTCAAACTGGTCAAGAAACGGACTGCATTCTCTAGTGCTTCGATCTTTGATGCTGTACGACCCATGTCAACTGCTGTCACGGTTTTTCTCTTCCACGAGAAGCTCAGCCGTTCTAGTTCACGAACAACTCGCCATTGCATATTTGACAACTTAGTGCCAACACGAATGCAAGCAGGGGCTACCGGAGGCCGGCGCAGGAACATCCAGTTTAGACTTGCAACCATCATGTTCACAGCCCTCTTGAAGCTGAAATCTTCCAGCTCATGATCGCCAGCTTCCCGTCGCCAAACTGCCGGATATGGCACGGGCATAGGCCAAGGCTTCCCGGTGGCCTCCTTCTCGGAGGCAGGCGTTGCTACTTTCAGCAGGGTTCTAAGAAAGATGGAAAACTTCGTACCACCTTTCAGTGCAACTCGCAACGATGAATTCCACCAAGAGCTAGCTTCCACTGTACTAGCCGCTGCTCCCGGCTGCTGCGCATGCACAGCCGGCTCGTGATCCACACGCCCAGCTGCAGGGAGGTCCAGCCGGCCTCCCCGGTTCATAGGATTCAGTTGTTGGTTGTTTCGGCAGCGGCTCCTCTCCCACTGCCCTTCTGTGCATCCTTGCCCTTTCCCCCTTTGGGAGTCTTCGGTGGCTTCTCCAGCTGGTTCCCGAGCTCCTCGTTCAAAGCTGATTTCGGCTTCACAAGCCGGTTGCGACGGTCTGTGTATTCTTCCACTTCTTTCACCTTCTGCACAAAGGCCTCTACCCATCGAGCATCGAGAAGTCGAGTGAATTGACTCTCGTTGGCAGCTGGCAAGAGGTGTCGACTGAACGCGCTGAACGGCGGTGATGTCGCTTCCAACCCCGCCTCGTGAGCAATCAGCCATTGGCCATGATCGTATGCTACTTGATCCAGCTGGGCAATAAGCAGAGCAAGTCTCGCTTTGCATTCTGAGACCTGTCCGGACTCCAGGGCGTCGAGCGCCCCTCCCACCGACCATGCCACCCGGACTGAACTCTGAATGTTCGGGATTCGGCTCCTGTGTTCCAGCCAGCCGCAAAAGGTTCCCGATCCTTCCGCTTCGCCAGGACCTCCCACTCGGCTGTGGAAGTCTTCGAGCATATTGGCGCGAATGCTCTGATAGATCTGCTCGGGATTTTCCACGAGAGCCTTGCGAAGGGCTTTCAAGATTGCAGAATGTTTGCGGCTGGACCCGCTGCTCAAGGCCTCGCCTGTGCTGCCGCTCTCGTCCAAGAGCTCCTCGAGACTGGCCTTTTTGTTCTTCTGCTTTGCAAGGAGGCTGACAATGTCGGTGAGTTTGATAAGGGCCTTCTCCATTGAACCTCCAGGCCCTCCTGCAAACCCAGGCTCGTCTTGCTCTTCGCCCTCTTCTTCCTCGATAGGCTCCCCCAGCGCGTCCTCCCGCGCCGTCTGCTTGGGATGATCGCCAAGGCCAGGGTTTTTCTTTCGGACAAGAGAGGCCATCTGAAACAGGTGAGCCTCGGGGATGCCCGCAGAACGGGCTGACTGCACGACACCGGGATCCAGGCCTCGCAAACTCTGAACGGTTCGCGTCTCCGGTTTCGGGGCAGCTGCTGCCTTGGGGCGGCTGTCGCCCGAGGTGGCTGCGGGACCATTCTTGGCTAACTGCTGAAGACTGGCTTGGATGAGAGCCATACCATCTTCGAGTTTTCGCAACCGCTCCTCGCTCGCCGATTCCTGAGACACCGCGCTGCAGAAAGAAAATTTCTCGTCTGCCACGACCACTAGAGCTTCGGCGAATGGGAGGCATGCCTCCCCTCCACCGTCCTGCTCGAACTGTACCTTCTCTGACTCCCCCGGCTCACCCGGAGACTCGAAAAAGACCTTCTCCTCGAGCTCCGCTTTCAAGTAGCCAACCCAAACCTTCACCGTGCTACTCTCTGAAGCCTGGTGACGGAAGTCAGAAGTGCAACCAGCTACTCCCAGCGCGACTGCTTTGGACAGAGCTCCTGGGGGAAGTTTGCGCCTGGGCACCTGCCTGTGCCAAGCACTCAGAGGCACTGCAACCAACAACCGATTCTGTACTTTGCTGATAAAAATGATATCCACCAAAATTGAGTGGCCGCCCCCCTGCTCCACAGAAAGGTAGCCAACAGGGTACTCGTAAATCGTCTCACCGGTCCCGGTGTATACTAAGGCCTCCTCGGCCGAGGTAGGCCAGGGGTCTCCTTCGACCCCTTCTTCGGCTGTTTCGCTCATTGGGCAGCCGCTGAAGGCCACTCAACTCCTGCGCTGCGACACACCAGCTTTCCGTCCGCCTGGTTGGGCAAGCCGATGTAAACTGAAGTCCCAGAATCCTGGCGCGAATCGCCTGTAGGGCGTTTCACCAGGGGCTCCAGATCTCGCCAGCGAAAGAACAACCGAGCCGGATTGTAGACCTTCCCGTCGAAATCCTTGAAAAGCAGGTAGATTCGGGATTGCTGAGGAATCTTTTCTCTTCCTGAAAGCCCTCTACCAAGCCCTCGCACCCGGTCTTGGATCCACTTGCCCACTCCGATCAAAATCTTTGCCCGCTCAGTCGGAGCGGGGTAGGCAACCTCAGATGCCTGGGGTACTGGTTCGGTAGATCCAGCGGCTGACGAAGGTACGAGCTCGAACTCTTTGAAAGACTCCTGCTCTAGCTCAAGTTTCCGCACTCTGGCCGACAAGTCAGCAACCAGCAGCTTCAAGTCTCTCACTTCAGCTGCTAGCTCGGCTTCTCGACCTGGCATCCACCTGTTCAAAGCTCTCGATAGAGTTGCCGCTGCACCGACAATCCGAGAAGGCTTCTCAGTTGCCGTCGGAGCCAGCACGACCACAGGACACGCAGCTCAAGAACTAGCTCAGCTACAGGGCCAATGGACAATCCTATCAAAATCCCGGCAATCAATGAAGGCAGATGAATATCTGACCGAGAGGATCCCGAATCAAGAGGCTCCCAATCGCTTAAGGGACTCTGGGGCACCAGCTCTTCAAGTCCTGGTCCAGACCCCCTTCGAGCCACTTCCAGCAGAGCTTGAAGCACGACACCTGTAAGTCCTCCAGCAGCTCCGACTGCCAGAGGACGGCCGGCCATGCAAGCTACCCAGCTTGATCCGAAGTGACTGCCGCTTCGTTTTGAGAGAACATGCTTGGCATGAACACATGACGGAGAGGACTGCCAATGACATGGTGGCTCTCGCCGCTTGCTTCTTCCTCTGCTTTTGCTGTTCTGGCGAAAGCCGGCTAATCATACCCACATCCGGGCTATGACGCTACAACCCTAAACAGCCCTAGACCCTAAACCCTAAACCCTCAACCCTCAACCCTACTCCCCTGTTTCTGCGGCCAGGCCACTAGAAGAGAGGTTGCTGGGTCGCAACCACCGGCTCCAAAGCCACAGCGGCTCCACCTGAAGTGCTTGGTTCGGGCCCTGCACTTCTTGAGCTCCTTTTTGGGTTTAGGGTTTAGGGAGCTACTTTTTCGGTTTAGGGCTCCTTCAAGGGAGCTAGGAGGGTTAGCTGTAAGGGTGCTACAGGGTTCAGGCTTGAAGGGTTCGGGGTTTATGGTTTCAGGAATCCGAGTTTGGGGCTCCCGAGTCTTGGGAAGGTTTGGGAGCTACCGGTCAAGCTGCCGTCTGGAGGTGTAACATGGGAGCCTTGACACCCGGAACAAGGGCTTTGGGGTATTATATTCTGTCCTAGAAGGGCTGGAACGGCATGCTATTGCTAATTGTTCCGACCCCCTCTTGTAGCCGACAGCTGGTGGCATGTTGCAGGAGGCCAGGGACGCATGACTCACGAAGAGTGCTGGCTGTTGAGTAGTTTGGTTCTCATAGATGGCAACCTGACAGGAGTTGCACCGGTCGCTTGAATGAAACCTTGGCCACGAATTACACCCGGAACCCTGGAACCTGACGTCGAATCCCATCGAAGCTAGGATTGGTGCACTTTCAGCCCGGGACCCCGGAACTACCTCCAAATCAACGAGTGGCCGTAGCAGTCACAACGACCAGCATAGCAACGGAAAGTGACAACTGTAATTCCGTTGCAGAAACTTCACTTGCTGATGCCCTGCCTCTCGATGCATGTACCGCGCGAGAATCCTCAGCAACGGCATGTTGTACACGTCTGGGGCTGGCCACGACTCTTTCCGGATACTATCTCGGCTGTCGGTACCAATGCCTCGCGACAAACTTGTCATGACGATTGTGAATGCAAACATAGTAAGCAGTAGTCGTGGTCGTAGTCGTGGTGGTGGCAGTAGTACTAGTAGTAGCAGCAGCAACAGCAGCAGGAGGAGTAGTAGTTGTTGTTGTTGTTGTTGTAGTTGTAGTTGTAGTTGTAGTAGTAGTAGTAGTAGTAGTAGTAGTAGTACTGGTGGTAGTAGTAGTAGTAGTAGTAGTAGCAGTAGTAGTAGAAGTAATAGTTGTTGTTGTTGTTGTCGCAGTAGTGGTAGTAGTGGTAGCAAAGTAGCGAAGTAGCGAATAGCGAAGTAGTGGTAGTGGCAATGGCAGCGGCGATGGCAGTGGTAGCAGTAGCAGTAGCAATAGTCGTGCTGCTGCTGCTGCTGCTGCTGCTGCTGGTGGTGGTGGTGGTGGTGGTGGTGGTGCTGCTGCTGCTGCTGCTGCTGCGGTGGTGGTGGTGGTTGCAGTGGGATTGGTAGTGGTAGTGGTAGTGGTAGTGGTAGGGTAGCGGTAGCAGGAGTAAGTAGCAGTAGTCGTCGTGGTGGTCGTCGTCGTGGTCGTCGTCGTGGTGGCAGCAGCACCAGCAGCAGAAGCAGCAGGAGCAGCAGCAGCAGCAGCAGCAGCAGCAGTGCTAGTAGAAGCAGTAGAAGAAGCAATTGCCACAGTAACAGTAACAACAACCGATACATGTTCTAGGGCGACAACGACGATGACCCTAAACTCCAAACGGGAAGAGCCCCAACACTCCAAACAGTAATCCTTAAACCCTAGAACCCTAAAAGGCCTCGAACCCCACAAAGGTCAGTCTGGAAGTCCGTGGAGTCGAAGCAAGCACGACTTCCAACATCTAGTACGGATTTAGGGTTTAGGGGTGTAGGGTTTACGGTTCAGGGTTGAGTGGTAGGTTTTTGTTCTGACTGCCTTCTTCGTGTTTGCCTAAGCATCTTTCACCCAGCTCTTCGGGGGGCTGAAGCTGCAATGAAACCCTGCCAAGGAGCAGTATGCTCAGGGGCAGGAGTATGGCATTCAAAACGAAGGCGATCCACAGCCTATCCGGGTGCCGACTCTAGAATGTAGCATAGTCTCAGAATCTCAAAGCCAAATCGAAGGATTCACACGGTTTACGCTTCAGTGTTAGGGTTTAGGGTTTAGGGCTTAGGGGGTTTATGCCGGGAGTCTCGATATCTACATCCATGTGCTCCAAAGATCAATGAGAAGAATATGGAGCGGTAATGATACTGTAGTCCTGGCCCGAACCAAAAGCTGATGTAATCGTTATCATCTTTAGCAGCAGCATCATCATCAGCAGCAGCATGGTGACCCTCGTCGTCGATATGATCCTCCTCGCCATCAATATTATCACCTTCCTTCTCACCAGATTGCACCAGAGCATCGTAATTGCTTCGATGGCAAGGGCAAAAGCCAGGGTGCTGCAGGAAAATCTGCGGCCAAGGGCAAAGACACAGGCAAAGGCGGCAAACCCCTTGGACAGAAGGGCAAGGGCACTGGTGATGGAGGAGTTTTTCCGTATGCCAAAGGAGCCCGCGCGAAGAAAGGAAAAGGCAAAGGATACGAATCTGGCGTGACACGCAAAGATCAACAAGGAGCGGTGAGGAAAGCGAAGGGGCGAGGCTGAGGGCACAACTAGCTCATGGCCTATTGAGTTCATTGCGAAGTATCATCCAAGGCATGTTTTGAAGATGAGGTCATCTCCTATGTTAAAAGAAGTGGGCAAAGCATTGGTTTCATGCGAGCACCGTGCAAGATGGATGGTGCACCATTCCATTGTGGAGCGTGCAACAGATCAATCCCGAAAATTATGGAGGCATCTTGAAAATCCAAGATGTCGCACAGCAACCATCCTCTGGGCCCTTGAGTCAGAAGGCTTCGCTGCCGAAGGTTCAGACCCCACGGGATTCACGGCTCAGTTAGGGTCTTAAGGGTTTGAGGCTTAGGTTGGCTGGTAAACCCTTAACCCTAAACCCTAAACCCCTATACCCCTAAACCGAAAACTTTGAACCCTTCAACCCTAAGCCCTAATTTAGGGTTTAGGGTTCTAGAGGTCAGGCTATTGACTAGATGCTCAGGGTTTAGCTGGTTTTAGTTAAACCCTAAAAACCTATAAGCCTTAAACCCTCAACCCCAAACCCCAAAGCCTAAACCTAAACCCTAAACCCCAATCCTTAAAGCCTTAACCTAAACCCTAAAGCCTGAAATCAGATTCTCTAGCTTCGACAGCCAGGGGGCAAAGCAGTGAGAAGTCCAGCCGGCGAATCGCAGGGCACCCAAGGGAGCTCCTCACACGGCTTTGGGGAGGGTTTAGGGCTTTAGGGGTTTAGGGGTTTAGGGGTTTAGGGGTTTAGAGTTTAGGGTTTAGGGTTTTTAGGGTTTGGGTTCAGGGGTTTAGGGTTTAGGCTTTAGGCTTTAGGGTTTTTAGGGTTTGGGTTCAGGGGTTTAGGGTTTAGGGTTTAGGGTTTATTAGGCTTTAGGGTTCAGGCTTTAGGGCGTTAAAGTTAGTTCATATAGTGGACTGTAGGGAACTCGTGGGCTGCGAACAAGCTGAGAGGCTTTTGCGCTTCAGGGCTGAGGCTCTTGAGCTTCGGGTTTTCGGTGTTTGGCTGTGGGTTTAGATAGATGTTCAACCTTCCTTATGATATGAAACTTCAACATCCTGGACGCAGAACAAAATCGGAGAACTGAATCTCAAACCGAGAGTTCTAAAGGAGGCAACAGGAGTGAGGCACCTGGGTTTTCACTGTCACATATGTATATATACACACATATGCACACACACACACATATATATATATACATACATATATATATATGTATACATGTGCGAGTGTGTATGGAATTGTGTGTGTGTGTGTGGGTCCCCTTTGTTCTGTTAGCTAGGAACTGAAACCTAAACCCTAAAAGCATCCTTGCAGCATAAGATTTGGGAGCCCCAAGCCTAGCTCGTGGACTCGTGGTGCAGTAGCGTTGAGGGTTTAGGGTTTAGGGTCATTGAAGCTCCATCGGGACCAGGTGAAAACAACTTCAGAAGGCATCATGATAGCCCTTATATGCTACACTTGCAGTACAAGCACTGCCCGGCCAATTAAGGCAGCTGTAAGCCCCTACAACCTCAACCATGAACCCTACATCACAACAGCCCGAATTCCCCTACAACCAAAACCTCGAACCCTAGTCATACTCCCAATATCCCAGAACCTCAAGACCCCAAAACTCTGCACCGTCCCAACAGGCCTGGTTGAACCTGTCTTTCTCCGGCAATGGGAGACCATCCTCATCGCCCGTGACGCAAATCAGGTTCGACAGGGTCACCTCAATTGTCCTCTGCTTGGGCGGTTTGAGATTAATTAGGGTGAACGGGTTTATACAAGTGTACGTGCATATGTATATATATATATACACATGTAGACATACACCCACCTACCTACCTACCTACCTACCTACCTTCCTTCCTTCCTACCTTCCTACCTACCTACATACCTACCGACCGACCGACCGACCGACCGAACGACCACCTGCCTGTCTGGGCGCCTGGCTACCTACCTGGCGTCTTCCCTGCATGCATTGCATGGCATTACATTAGCTTACATTACAGTACCTGACATTACATTACAAACCACACATGTTACATTCATCGAGCCATCCCTGCATGCATGCATGCGTCCTTACACCCATATATCCTTACACCCATATACCCATACAGGCACACATGCCAACATGCTTGCACAGGTATATGCATATGTAAAGCAAACAGTCAAACAATCAAACAAACAAGCAACGCAACACACGTACATACATACATACATACATACATACATACATACGTACATACATACACTACATTAAAAAAACACACATGCATACATACGTACATACATACATACATAAATACATACATACATGCAAAACATGCATACATACATGCTTACAACCACAGATACATAGATAGATAAATGCG